ATAGTGTTTATTAGCAATTATTGAAGTTTAAATATGTTATTTTATTATTTAGTATAATATTGCTGAATATATTAGTTATATTTTTTTGTGTTATGTTTTTATAAGCATTTGCATATTTAATTGAAAATGTTATTTTTTTTCTTTGTGTTTTCTTTTTTTTTTCGCTTGTGTTCATGTTTTCTTTCTCATGACTTAATAATTTGATATTATTTTCATTTGAAACTCATTTTTTTATCGGTTTTACTTTTGAGAACCATCCCTTTTAGTATGGTTCGGGAAACTCTAATTAATACTACCAATGAGGGTTCAGATCTTTTTGGCCATCGCAGAACCGGACCTCGGTAACAATAATTAAAAAATTATTTTTTTGTTACGTGAGAAAGTCCTTTGATACTTTCTAACGGTCGATATCAAACTCTTCTAAATAAGTAATGATGCTATTTCTTATTGTTCTTGCTTCTTTTCTCTTTTGAAGTTCTTATAATACCGTATGATCGAAAAAAAACGGCGTCCAGTTGGCTTGGAAATGACAATCGATGACATTTCCCATATAATTTTACATATAAAATGACAGCGATCTTCATTTCATAGCCATTGTTGACGCCGTTTTTATTCGATCATACGGTATTTATTATGTTATGTTTTAATAGATATTTGCATTTTTGTCTCAAATTCAGTTAAGTTGGTTATGTTGTTTGATGTGAAAGTTATACTACAGTCAAAACAAATTCTCCTGACCAGTGACTTGCCGATGGCGCCTCCTATCCACCTGAGTCCTGAGTGTTGTAATATCGACGCACAAGTCTGTGGCCTGTCTCTTGTCCTTTACGACGTCATAGATGGACGTGTGCGTATCGACCGATGACGTCACCGTAAGCTGGAACTTGCCCTTTTATATCGACGTTGTCAATTCTTACGAAAAAGTAGTAAACACAAATATAAATGGTTTTGTGCCGTGTTCAACCATTTTCAACTAGATATGTCTGATACGTATATGCCGAAATGTTAGTATGTACTTAAATTATGATGTTCCTATGCTAAAGATATAATCAAAAACATGTTGACATATCTAAAATCTATTTTAGATTCAAGATATTTCGAATACATATTTTCATGATTGGCAATAGTGAATTTAAAAATTGCACACTCGATTACGTAACTAAAAGTTAAATTTGTATATCGCTTATACAGGGTGTTTCGAAAAACATGTGCTATCTCTCGTGGGGTCAGTCTCTCGTCCATGTCAACATAGGTTCGATTTTGCTTTGTTTCGTAGCTACAGGGTGTTAAAGTCTTAATAATCTTTGGATTTATTATAATTTTCTTCTCTTAAAAGTATTTTTAGTGATTCGAATGAAATTTTGAGGGTTAAAGTTACTATAAGTGCCTACATATTTTAATTCTAAAAATGTGTCGATAAATTCATCAGGGACGTGCATCTGGGTTATCACTGGAATATTTTTCAAAAAAAAACTTGTACCGCTGACTTTTTTTTTCTTTTGATATCAAAAATTGTTTAAGCCGTTTAATGCCAGTTAAGAGCTATTTCTTGATATTTGGTCGAATTCGGCCTCCTTGGTGAGATAAACGCAATTTTATTAATTACAATTATTAATAAATTATATGTTTTACCTAATTTATTATTAAATATTACTACTATTAGTCCAACCTACAGCAATTTCAAATACAAAAATAATGGTATTTAAGACAATTACAAAATAACTAAAAACTAATTTTAAAAAGTTTTAACATCCTGTAAGTCTAAAACTATGCATTTCCATACCCGTGTTTATAGCAACTTTTTTTCATATTTTTTGATGAAGAATCAATGAGTACTTTTTTAAACTTTCACAAGTTAATGATATTATTTTTTTTAAAGGTTACTATTAGACTTGGATCAAGGCAAATTAATAAAATTGCGTTTATCTCAACAAGGAGGCCGAAATCGACAAAATATCAAGAAACAACATTTAATCGGCATTAAACTGCTTACACTATTTTGCTAACAAGAGAAAAAAGTCAGTGGCGTAGGTGCTGTTTTTTTTTAAATATTTCAGTGATAACCCATATGCACGTCCCTGGTGAATATGTCGACACTTTTTTAGCTTTAAAATATGTCGCATTTATAGTAACTTTTACCCTGAAAATTTCATTCGAAACGCTAAATGTACTTGGAAGAAAAAAATACAATAAATCGAAAAAATATAAAGACTTTAACACCCTATAGCTACGAAACAAAGCAAAAACGGAGCTATTCGCGGACAAATAAATCTTATTTTTACTTGAAGAGTCTCCCTAGGAGAGATGGTACATGTTTTTTGAAATACGCTGTATAGAAAGATCTTTTTGAATTCATAAACTCCTGTCAATCGTTCCTGTCCCAGAGGTCTGACAACGCGGCGCGTATGCTGTCATCGGATTGCGCAATAGGTCTGCTTTTCCTCACCCTCGCACACATTATTAACGAGCCCACGCATTTTTTCAGGATGCCCTTTTAACGTTCAGTGTCTTTCGTTCATCGAATTTCATTCATAAAATAAGATATATTTAGCTTCGGTAGTCAATTGTTACTATTAATAATATTTCAAAAGTATTTATTGCATTTTGATTGTGTTTTTCGACTACATAATGGTTTGGCGCCTTCGTTGGGGTGGGAGGTGAGTTTTGTTGTGATTGTAAAAAGTGTGTCAAGACAACCAGAATACATATTATTATCTTTTGCACTACGTTTATATATTTTTGGTGAAAGTTTGAAACAATCTTGTGGAGTAAGTTAACAAAGCAAGGGATTTAAAAATTATTTTTTCAACTAGGGGTATCTTTTCTCAATAGTTTGATTTTTGGCTCATCTCGATAATTTTTTTGGAGATATTCGCTTTTGAAAAAGACACTGACATTTTTTAGTATTTTTGCATTAATCCCAGTCAACAAACCTATAAAATAGTGTTTACGATTTATGTAATGTCACTCTCTTTGAAAAATTATATTATTATTGTCTATCGGGCAGTTACTCTAGCAATGATGGTTTTAAGTCCAAAAGTTGAACTCTTCCAGAGCTGCAACAAGTCAGTTTTAAAAAGACTTAAGTCTTTGACTTAAGAGTCCATTACACTAGTCCGAAAAAGTAGCTAAATAAGCGTTCGGCATTTAACGTTTTATGTAAAACTGGCTAGGTATTTTTACACAAATAAAGAAGGAAATTAGAGATAAAGGATTATGCTATACCCGTATTGTAGCACATTTTTAGACAATTTCTTTATTTTTAAGATTTTGATGGTCAAACATCAACAAAATGTTTATTATGTTTGGACTAAATTTTCTCGAAAATAAAGAGATAATTTAGAATTCCTTTACAATACGGAAATAGATTGAAGTTTTGTGATTACCGTGATAATATAATATGATAATTTATATGGTTTTGTAACAAATTGCTCGCTATTTTATGGCAAATGCTGAAGCTCTGCAAACCTTAATCAAGCCTTAATCAAAGCACGTGTGTTTGGAATTTTTAGTGTGGCTTAACACGACAGGATCGGGCTAAGCCTTAGGCAGATTTCTGAAATATATATATTTCCTTCGGCCACACGCCCGCTTTACCCGACCCCTGAGAGCGACCCGAACAGTACAGGGTGGGTCAAATTCGACGCTTTTAAATGGAGACAGCCTTTTCTATAGGAGATAGACAAAAACTAATATCGGTGTCTGCAGCTCAATTTTTGTCAAAAACATGATGGTGAAAACCGCATATCGATGTCTGTTACCGTTTCGGAGTTACGGGGTGTTTTTCAAAAATATGCATTTCTAACAAATCGCTGTAACTTTTTTGCTATGGAAAATTTTGTGGAAACATTTCCAAAGCACCTTTTTACGTAGAATTTAATGGTTTAAGAATAATTTTTTTAAAATTAATAATTTAAGAAGTATCAACAGAAAATTTGATTTTTTATATGGAACACCCTGTATATTTTTAATTTCTTGAAAAGAATTTAAAATTACCTTTCCAAAAATATAACACACTTGATATTTTGCTCGATTCCTCTTCGAGATATAGAGTATATAAAAATTCGCAATAAGTAGGCTTTGAACAGCACTGGCTGTAATGCAAAAAAATTCTAGCTGTGAGCATCAATTAAAACGAAAATAATATTTGCTATGAGAGATGCAGAATTTTATAACAATTTAAACTATATTTAACCAACATCAACACATTTAAACTATATCTAATAACAATAAAAATAAATAGCAAACCACGACATGAGATTTTGCTACAGGTGTTCGACTTATCGACAGTCTTTCTGTTATGGACAGACGGGGCAGTTTTTGAACATTTTTCGCGGAATTCATTAACTCAGTAGGGGTGAAATATATCCTCTCATAACTGCTAAGTATTTCTAATTCTTGTCTAGATTATACGGAAGAATAAGGAACCTTTATTCTCCCGCAAATATATCCATAGGATTAGATCCATGGGCACTAAGTCAGGCGGCCTCGACGGCCAACGGCTGGGATCTTGGTTAGCTCTAAAATTATTCTTGAAATTCCCTGCAAAAATTTCAATTTCAGCGTTGATAACTCGGTAAATTATCTTTTTGGAAAAAATATGTTTTCGAGTTCCATTAAATTCTACGTAAAAAGGTGCAAAGCCTACTGGTTAAATAGAAACTACAAAAATTTTGTATTTCGAAAAAGTTATAAGCGATATCAAGTTAAAAATGCACATTTTTTAAAAACACCCCGTAACTCCGAAACGGTAACAGATATTGATGTATGGTTTTCACCATCATGTTTTTGGTGAAAATTGAGCTCCACACACCGATATTAGTTTTCGCCTATCTCCTATAGAAAAGGGTGTTTCCATTTAAAAGCGTCGAATTTGACCCACCCTGTACAGCGTAATAGACTCTTAAGCCTTTTATAAAAAGCTTGCAGCTCTGATCTTTACTATGATCAATTTTTATTAAAGACCCTGTAGTATATATATTTTTTTCAATTTTTTTCAGGCGGATGCCTCAGTGGATATGGCCGAACGGCATTTCTACACGGCCAGTATGGACTATGTTTATCTAATCCAACAAGTGCACGAACGAAAAAAGTTTGAGTTTGTGGAGTCGCTGCTCACATTTGTCTATGCCTGGTTCACGTTCTACCATCAGGGGCACGAGATCAAAAAGGATTTCGAGCCGTTTATGAGGGACTTGCAGTCGAAAATCCAGAAGACGCGGAGCAATTTTGACGATTTCACCGAGAAACTGAAAAAACGAATGTCCGAAGTTCAAAAACAAGAGGAACCGCTGAGAAATTCGAAAGGATGTAAAGAAGGATACTTGTTCTTGTTAGAGAAAAGTAATTATTATTATTATAATAAAAAAATGTCTATACTTATGAGGCGGATTCGTCTTTCCAAAAAATCCTTTATGGGTATTTCGCCACTGCACTGCAAGAAAATCTACAAAATAAAATATATTTTTTTTTGTAAACACTTCTGCCTTAAACCTAAACGGACGCTGCTTGTCAGAAGTTATGTTTACAGTAATACAAATTTGCCTAACAAAGAAAAAAAAATGCTTAACGTTTCGGAAAGTTATCTCTTTCCGTCGTCGGAAGAAAAAAAATACAAAGTATAATGAAAAAAACTATTTAAAATATTTAAATTCAACTATTCGAGAACACTTTAATTTTTTTTAAACAGATACGTCTACAAAAACCGTAGACGTTGTGTTAAAATTACATTATATGAAGTGATAACAATTACTTAATAATATAAAACCAAAAAGCTTCAAACTTTCTGTATGTTTTGTTTTTAATTTTTACGTATGTTATGTTTATTTATATTATATTCTTTAAAATCAAAGAAGCGATTGCGATACATTACTAACATCTACATAGATGCATGAGCAATACATTTATTTTTATTAGATTGTATTAAAAAAGCCTCTTTTATATTTCTTTTGCAGGCTATCGCTTCTTTCATTATATGTTTTGGATTGTTAAAATCTATTCTGTGCCCTGTGTCCCATGAATACTGACAAATCTTAGATTTGTGAAAGTCGCCCTATAATCTTTATGTTCTTTAATTCGAACATTTAAGGGTCTAGATGTTTCAACAATTTAAAAAAGAATTATTTGCAAACATCTAGACCCTTAAATGTTCGAATTAACGAACATAAAGATTATTTAAGAAAGGGCGACTTTCACAAATCTAAGATTTGTCGGCATTCATGGGACACAGGGCACAGAATAGATTTTAACAACCAATTTCGTAAAATTTGTCTTTTCCTTTGTCTCCTTGACGAAATGAACTACATATAAAGTTTTATTTGCTAGTAATAGTGAGTAATTTATTATAATTCATTCCAGAGGCTTTTGGTACTACGTGGACAAAACACTACTGCAAATATGACAAAGAAACTAAAGAGTTTACCATGCTTCCCTACAACCAGCTTACGACCAAATCAGTAAGCATAATTTTTTTATTACTCAACTGCTACACATACATTTTACTTACTACAAACATATTTTCTTAGTAAACTATTAAATTTGTAATCAGTGATGGACAAACACCCGGTATATTGAAATTTGTCCCAAATATATTATAAGACTATATTGCTAAGAATATAAATCTTGCATAAGTCTATCCTTTTGATTCAATAGAATTTTCGTGCGCACGCGCCAAATAAAACGATCTGATTCGTCTACTTCATCGCTGAACGCTGTCACCTGCCCGCGCACTATTTTAACCTCTAAATATTAATAAAGTATAATATATTATTTTTTTATTGGTAATTGCATTATTTCAACCTGTTATTTTAGATATTCATCATATCTATCTGTTTCTTGTTTTTGTTTAAATATGTCAGAGATTAAATTTAAATTTATAAGTAAAGCCGCGAATAGTCAGACGCTAAATTGATATACGTGGTAGATAGGAACTTAGAAAACTACTTCTATTGGTTAGTATGAAATAAATCAACTAATCGCGAAACACTTCTCACGCTTGCGTAGTTCAAAGCTGTTGAACGAAAAGGACCGACTTATGTGCATTTTGTATAGCTCCATCTCAAAAACTTGGCTTCAATTTTTGTTTCTTACTAGTAATATAGTCTTATAATATATTTGGGGTGTCCCAATATTGCGTGGACATAGAACTACTACGTATTTTTGGAATCAAAATGACACAATTTACTTCTATACAAAAATGCGTGTGGACGCTAGAGGACATCAAACTTTTAAAAAAATTACGAATTTTTTCAGATGCTTTAAGAACCGTTATTAAAAAACCGTTACCTAAAATCTCATTCAAGTCAGAATAACAACCTAACCTAACCAATCCAAAAATAGTAGTTCTACGTCCACGGAATATTGGAACACCATGTATAGCCAGTAGGTAAATACAGGGTATATTGAATTTGAGCTAATATTTTGAATAAAAAAAGATTAAAGCTTCATTTTCATGCATCCGTTGTCCGACGATACGTTGATACGATATTAATTTTATTGGTAGAATTTAAGACTTTGATTGGTTAGAAAATAACGCAGTTTTTAAATTTATTGCATTTTCATGCCTCCGTTTATCGGATATACGTTGATGTCATTTTATTTTTTCGTTTCCATAACGATTTTGCTATTTTACTTATATTTTTATTAAGGTTAGATTAAATTTGTCAAAAAAGTGTCAAAACGTACGTTATCGTATGAACGGGTGCGTTGACGGGCTGAAGTAAAATATTTACGGATGAAAAGTGGCGCGAAAACGCTATGACCAATCAGAGCATCGTCGGACCATCGTGTCAACGTATAACGGATGCATGAAATCAAACTTAAGGAAGAAATGTAATGTTATCCATGTTTTAATACGTATCCATAATATGAAAAGTATTTGTGCTTTATTATTTACTTTAAACCTTTTCATATTTGATTATGTAGTTGCCTCAACCAGAAAAGATGGTAATAACATCGTGCGTAAGAAGAAAGTCAGATTCAATAGACAAGCGGTTTTGTTTTGATATCCAAGCAGACAGCAAACCTGGCATCACTTACACATTTCAAGCGTTATCAGATAATGATAGGAACGCATGGATGGACATAATGGATGGCAAGGAACCTGTAAGTGTAACAATAACGTTTCTATAATGTTGTGATCACGTATAATAATTGCAGACTTATACTGCGTATTTAAACAAACCGGCTATTTCAACGGAAGAGAATTACGTTCTGGATGAGACTGGACTGCAATATATTAGAAAGTGTATAGAAGTTTTAGAAAAGAGAGGTTTAGAGGAACAAGGTATATACAGGTAAGATATTGCTGATACTTGTTTACGTATGGTAATCGCAAAACAATTTCCAATGCACGTGATCAACTTTGAGTGACAAGCGATGGCGACAGCGCTGCCAGATTGTGATGGATTTATGAAATGAGTCTTAATTTAAAAGTGACAAACGATACATTTATTATATTATTTTTTAAAGATTTTTCCGTTTTATTTTTAATTTAATAACTAATATTTTAGTAATTAATTGATTAATTTGTTTTATAGCTTATTTTAGTTATTACATATTGGCAAAAACTAGTCCATTATGAAGATTATTCTAAGCGTTACTATGGGTTATTAATTTATTTATCGATGTACATCTTACAACGCCATAAGTGGTAATAATAAGTAAGAGTATTAATGCACAACTAATAATCACAGAATTTAATAAATACTATAAATAACTTTGAAAGTGGTATAATGTGCTTATCAATCAAACTTACTTTTCTGACTGCAGTCAAGGGTAATAAAGGATCTTTATTGTCACGTTCTCGTTTGTAAAATCGCTTATTTCTGGGGTTTACTCAGCCAGGTCTCACAATGCAAATTCACCTCAAATATCCATTTAATTGGTCATTGGCAAGCACTCTCTCATTGTACATGAAAATAACAAAACAAAAATTTACTGATCTGGATAAAATTGATAGTTAAATAGCAAAACTCACCCGGGGGTATTCCGCCTCCTAGCCAGTGACATCACTGATATTTTATTCAATATATCCCATTCTATATCTTCCATCTAATTCAAATATTATTTGGATTTATTGGTTAATAATCTTCAACAACTAGCTAGTGTCACCTGAAATAGTATAGGGGCTTCCCCCGGCGCAAATCTGCCGCTAAACAAATTCGCATCCCAATCGAATAGGCTAATTGGGGTACCTCACTACCCCAACGCCGCATCGTGTCAATCGAGAAGACAAAGGAGACCTCAAACTCTCAAGACCAACCTCGAAGGCATGACGTCACAAGAGGTTTTCTTCTCATGGTCGAACGACCCGTTGCCTTACAGTACATGCAACGTTTATAGTCAAAAGACTCGCAACCCCCAAATGTCAACTCTATGACAAAACACAACACAACAGCCGGCCGATCCGTCTACTACTGACCTGCCGCCGGCAAGCTAAGCCTCCTCTTACATCACAATTTTACCTGATCACAAATATTTACATCGCTTGCCAATGAATCATACTATTTTCTCTAATCGACTTTCAAATAGAGTGTTTTAGCATTACTAGATAAATAAATAGAGAGTTTCCGAAGGAATGCATATTCTTTATTAAAATAGTGAATAAATAAAAGCATTATTATAACGAAGTTATTTTCCAAGTTTTACACGTTCAAAATAGTTTATCAGGGAAGCTACAAGCTCTTTGCTGCGACTGTTTAAATGCTTCGGCATATTTTCAACACACAATTTCAAGAAATGCAATACAAAAACTCAAAAATTTAGTTCCTAAAGGAACTGTTTGTGTTTAAAAGTACATTTTTTAAAAAAAGTCTATGAAAATAGGCAAAAAAACGAGAATTATTCACAAAGATTTAACAACAACACGATATTATACAAAATTATGACTGACATTATGATAATTGATAAATAACAAACGACAACGTTGCTGATCACGGCGCAATGTGACCAATATAGCGATAATAAAATTCGGTTTAAACTAATTTTTGCAACTTTAATCTAAATATCTGTTACAATCATTTGCTCTATAAAGTAAAATGAAGAGCTGCTCGGTATCTTATATTATACAGCAAATTTAACCATTTTTGCCAAAATTTCATTTAGTCAGGTTTATAGACTTTAGTGTCAATGCCGATGTTTGATGACATGCATCTGAAAATGTTTTGCGATTACAATATATTAATATTCTATATAGGGAAATTTAAATAACTTCCATTGCATATCATAATACGACCACCAGCAAACTCCATAAGACGACGTTTGGTGTCATTGATGACGTGCAACGGAAATTGTTCCAATTTTCCTATACAAATGGGAATCATATAGGAAAATTTTCATTCATATTGGAAATTAACTTTATCTCAATGAACGGTGATCTAATAACTCTTATTTGAATTAAAAGGATAATACGTGTTTTAGGGTTGTGGGTGTTACATCAAAAGTAAACAAGCTCTTAGCTATGGGATTAGACAGAAGAAAACAAGAAAAATTATTGTTGGACGATCCGCAAGAATGGGAAACGAAAACAATTACCAGTGCTCTCAAAACGTATTTGCGTAATCTGCCAGAACCGCTTATGTCGTTCAAATATCATAATGATTTTATCAATGCTGTCAGTAAGTAGAAATGTGTTTTTTAATGGTATAGTTTAGTAACTGTATATTTTCTTAGAAAAAGAATCAAGACAAAATCGAGTACACGAAGTTCATAAACTTCTTTACAAAATACCTAAAACTAACTTTGATGTTTTGAAGATTCTAATCAAGCATCTAACAAAGTAAGTTTTTATTGCAACTATTATTGAATGTGACTAAGGAAGGAGTGTATTATAAGTGCAAATTTATTTTAATTTCTACAGGGTGGCTCAAAAAAGTGTGAGTGGATCAGGATGATATTTTTAAACGGAACATCCTGTATATTACTGTATTTTTTGGGTTCCTTTTAGATCATTTTATATAATCCTAAGGTATGAGTAAATATATTTCGATAATTTCGGATATATTAATAAATAAACAAATAAATCAACAGGATGTTCAAAATTATACTCCAAACTTTCTAAAATAAAAAATAATTTATCTTTGCTTTTTGTTTAAATAAATGGAACACCCTGTATATTTATTTATTTAGCGTATGGCTTACATCACAGTATCTTAAGTTATAGGACACAAAATGGTATAAACAACAACAAAAATGTATATAAAAAAACTGCATAAACAACAAAAAAAAATATGTAGATAAAAAAACTGCATAAACAAAGAAAAAAAACATACACAACGAAAAAATAGGCTAATTCGTCTCATAAACAGATATCCAGTCGTTGTATATAATCAATTGCCTCCTGAGTAGCCATAAGGAAATCTTCTGAGTTGCCCATATATGCTCTTATTGGGCAGTCTTGCACTATATGTTTGACAGTCTGCCTGTCAGCTCCACAGTCGCATGCGGCTGAAGGGACTTTTCCCCACCTATTTAGAGAGTCGGCACATCTTCCGCAGTTAGTTCTGAGTTCTGATTCGCAGTTAGTTAAGAGTTGTCCATGTTCGACCCTGTATATTATTTTTTTATTAGAAGGAATGTTAAAAAATTAACTTTTTTTGTATTTAAAGTATTTCACAATTTTGAATGGTTTTGCAGATACACGCAGTATTATTTCATATGGCTCTTTTAACGGTAAAATACCAGAGAAAAATCATTGGGTGGCTTTCATAAAAATTTACTGTGGAAAATGCCATATGAAATATAAAACCGCGAATATCTGCGAAACCGTTAAAAATTTTGAAATACTCTAAATACAAAAAAAATTTCGTTTTTTAATTATCCATCTATTGAAAACATAATATACATGATGATCCATTAAAAAAAACGAAGAAAAAATATTATATATTTTAAAAAATTTGGCGTAGAATTTTGAACATCCTGTATGATTTACAATTACCGTATTTATAGTAAAGTAAGTACAAACCATCTAAAGTAAATACCCAATGTAGTTGTAATTTCTTGTCAATTCTTGTATTTTTAATATTCTTTTAAGAAAGGCTTAAAAATATGTACAGGGTGGTCCAAATTGTATTCCGGAAACTTCGGCAGCATATTCTGCAGATAAAAATAGGTAAAAAAGTTCGTATAAATGTATGTCCTAAAATGCTTAGTTTCGGAGATACACGGTGTAGAAATTTCATTTTTATTTCGATTTTTTCCAAATAATTTCTGAAATAACGTCAATATTAAGATGAAAATTGGTGTCTGGGAGTTTTTGACATGAGAAATTTGATTTTGATGTCAATATGACTCCTACTGGTAGAGGACGCCACCTACATTTGTTTTAACTGTTTTGAAGAGTAATAACTTTTCGTTCGTACCTGTATAAAACTACTGAGTAAAAAAATATACATTTCCGTGACTTTCTGCGTAAAAAATGTCCCTTGGTAAAAACCGCTACGAGCAACCGTTCTCAAGATATTTAGAATGAAAATAGTCAATACATGTCATTATTGACAAATAATAAACACGCGAGGAGTAGATAGCTATTTGACTGAAATAATAATTTTTTCTTTGAAAAACTATGATAAAACAGTTTCTGTCAAACTTTTGACACAAAATCATTTCAATATGATTTCAGTCTAATAACTATTTAGTTAACATGTTTAATTTATGTCAGTGATGACAGGTATTGATAATTTCGATTCCAAATATCTCGAAAACAGTTTTATACAGGTACGGAAGAAAAGTTATTACTCTTCAAACCAGTTAAAAAATATGTAGGTGGCGCCCATATTGGTAGGTGGCGAGTCATATTGACATCAAAATCAAATTTCTCATGTCAAAAAACTCCCAGACACCAATTTTCATCCAGATATTGACGTTACTACATAAATTATTTGGAAATAATCGAAATAAAAATGAAACTTCTACACCCTGTATCTCCAAAACTAAGCATTTTAGGACATACATTTATACAAACTTTTTTACTTATTTTTATCTGTAGAATATGCTGCCGAAGTTTCCGGAATACAGTTCGGACCACCCTGTATACCTACTATATTTTTTATTTATTAATATCTCTGAAAATATCGAAATATATTTACTCATATCTTAGGATTCTTTAAAGTGATATGAAAGGTAGCCAAAAATGAAATAATATACAGTTCCGTTTAAATAAAATCATCCCGACTCACTCAGTTTTTTGAGCCACTCTGTAGAAATTAAAATATTTTCCGGAAATACATGGACCCTGTATGATTAAAAGTTCTATTGAACTCCTTTCTTAGACTTTTTATTTATTGCAAAATTCCATTTTCTACAATAAGTATTTTCTTTTAACAGTGTGGTGAGTAAAAGCGACAAGAATTTGATGAGCGTCAGCAACTTAGGAGTTTGCTTCGGACCAACCCTGCTCCGTCCAGAAGAAGAAACAGTGGCCTCAATTATGGATCTAAAATTTTACAATATCGTCGTTGAGATTCTTATTGAACATTACGATAAACTGTTTTTTACCGAACCAGATCACACGAGATTACCTCAGGGCAACAATATACCGAATGGGCCTCCGAAGTACGGCCATCTAACACCAAACAATCATTTGCCTACTTTTAATTCGGATAATAATGATTTAGTAACGTCCAACAGGGTTTATATTCATCAACCTACAAATTCTTACAGACAGACATCGGGATATCAACTGCCGTATGTTAATGTATGTTATTTTTTTTTTAATTGTTTCAATATTTATTAAAAATATTTTTTTGGAAATTTATAGGCAATGGCTTTATATGGAGAATCACCAATCTCTTCCAGTATATACAGTACTAACGAGCCATTATCTGATCCAATTTATTCGATGTCCAGGAGTGATTATAGGCCTTCTAACCACCAAAGATTCAAACACGTAATACCAACTACAAACTCCCAGTCGGAGTCCAATATTCCCCAAACATTTTCCAGTTTACATAGCCCTACGAATTTTAGGCATAATCACTTAGGTATGGTTATAATAATGCCGTTTTAAAGCCTAGATCATATATACTTACGTGGATAAGTAAATCACTATGGAAACTGTCGCAAACATATCAAGGACTTCCATTTATCTTCTTTTTTTTGTTGCACATATCTATCCTTGTCGAGGACCTATCGTCCGCGCGCCAAATTTGAACATTAACTTTTAAAATTTAATTTGTAAAATGCTTATATTATACAGGGTTGTTCACCACATACGACACGGAGTATTGTAGCTAAATGATGAGATTTTTACAAATTGTAAGTTTTGGGTTCGATGAAGGACTATTAGAGGTACAATTTAAAAATAATTTTACAAGATACAGAGTGTCTCAAATAAGTAAAAAATATCAGAGTTGTATTTTTTTAAATGGAACACCCTGTATATTATTACATTTCTAGTTTCTACGATTAAAATAAAGGTAAATTTGATTAAGGTTTATTATACTTAAACCTTACCGTTTTTGAAATATTTTCAATTTTGTGAAATTGCAGTAAAATTTTAAGGCTTCATTTCTCCAAGGGTATCAAAGTTTTTAATACTAAATATTTACTGAAGTTTATTTACTGATCAGTTATTGTGTTGCAATAATAAAAATAATACTACCTTATACAGAGTGTCTAAAAATTTATTTTAAATAATTATTAGCTTCAAACGGCAATAACTTGTTTAATTTAAATCGAACACTTTCTATATTTTACGAGAATCAGATGCACAAATTGTCTATCAAATTATATTATACCATTTTTTACCTATCTCTTTAAGTTTCCGTAAAAATGCATTTTCTTGTAATTTAGAACTTATTTATCAATATACCCATGGGCTATTGACATTTTAGATTATTTTTAAAGATGTACCAAATTTTTAAAGAGTACAGATACTAATATTGTGGATATAATTCGTTTATTTCATTAAAAAAAAAAAAAAAACTGTTTAAATATTTGTTAAAGAGGACCAATTAATTCCACTATTCAAACTACATTAACTGACTGTTTGCGTTGATTAATAATAATTGCTCCAAATACTAAAAAGTTCTTAAAACCTTAAAGTTAAAAAGTAAACACCTTAAAAATGATATTTCATTTTTTAATAAATGCTTATTTATAACAACAGAGACTTTAATTTGATAACTTATTATTATATTGATTTCTGACTCAAATCCACATTTATTTATAATAATTTATTAACGAACACAATTAAGTATGTAATTAATTAGTATATGGGCGGAAATAATGGTGTTATATTTAATTAATGGTATACTCTTTTATAAAGATTTAAATAGTTTTCTTTTTGCATACAAATGGGCTAGTAATATTATCGTTTTGCTAAAAACGATAATATTACTAGTCTGTACATTTTATACATTTGTTGCTTTAAAAACAATCTAAAATGTCAATATTCTATGGATATATTGATAAATGAAGTCTAAATTATAAGAAAATGCATTTTCTACGAAAACTTGAAGGGATAGGTAAAAAATGTTATAATAAGATTTGATAGACAATTTAATTGTGCATCTGATTCTCCTAAAATATACAGGGTATTCCATTTAAATTAAAGAAGTTATTGCCGTTTGAAGCTAATAATTATTTAAAATAAATTTTTAGACACTCTGTATAAGGTAGTATTATTTTTATTATTGCAACACAATAACTGATCAATAAATAAACTTCATTAAATATTTAGTATTAAAAACATTGATACCCTTGGAGAAATGAAGCTTTAAAATTTTACTGCAATTTCACAAAATTGAAAATATTTCAAAAACGGTAAGATTTAAGTATAATAAACCTTAATCAAATTTACCTTTATTTTAATCGTAGAAACTAAAATGTAATAATATACAGGGTGTTCCATTTAAAAAAAATACAACTTTGATATTTTTTATTTATTTGGGACACTCTGTATCTTGTAAAAATATTTTTAAATTGTAGCTCTAATAGTCCTTCAACGAACCCCAAACTTACAATTTGTAAAAATCTCATCGTTTAGCTACAATACTCCGTGTCGTATGTGGTGAACAACCCTGTATATAACAATAAATTGAATGTTTACTTTCACAAAAATTAAATTATATAAAAAATACATTTAGCCACTCCGTACGAATATCAATATTCTTAGGAAATCTAACCAGAAAGTATGCATGTGGCTTAATATAAATAAAAGAACAACTGAATACTTTACTTGCCTATGAAAAGATAATTCGGGGACCTTTATATTAGAACTTTCACACACTAAACATTTTCTAGTCATTTTTATGAGTATTTGGAAAGTCCAACAAAAAAAATTAGAAATATAATTGCACAAACTTAAAGTTAATTTCTCACTGAACACTCTTGCATCCTTGGCTATATAAAAGCGGTCGATAAACGAGTAATTAATTCAATTTTTAATATAAAAAAGCAAAAAAACAAGTATCGTTACACAATGGAAATAATATTATGACAATGAAAAGTTGGTTTCCATAACAATGTATAATTTGTACTTTCTAAACCTTATAAAATTGTGATTATTTGGAAATACGTGAAATTTTTAATGCGCATGCGCAAAGTAAGGTCCTCGAGATAGACAAACCTATTGAACGTTTCATAAGTGCAATAAAGAAGGTTTAAAAATGGCATGTCGTGATGTTGGAGACATATTTTTTAATGCTAAACTTATGGCGTTGATTTATGCACGTAAGTATATATGATCTAGGTTTTAAAGACATATAGGGAAATTATTATTTCAGAACGACTCATATACAGGGCGATTCACGGCCATGGTACGTTAGAGGTTTATGGAAAACCGGTGATTGCATAAAAGCGCTTGCTCTATCTGTCTAAATTATTTTACGCATTACAGTGCTGTCGCTTTATACTAAAAGCGGTAGTATCTTTGTTATTTTAAATGGAACACCTGGTATATTATTACATTTTTCGAAACTTCTTTCATATGCCATAATTTTTCTGTTATACTGACCTATACCAATCTCTAATATTTTTCGAGATATAAAATAAAACGTGTAAAATTGACAAAAACATGATCTTGAATTCGCTTTGTTTAAATCATAAATTCGGCATAGTGAAAGCTTAAATTTGGTTTATATGTTAAGGAAAGTCGACATATTCGATCTGTCTAAATCAACCAATGGGATATCAAACAGGGAGATAAAAAAACATTCTGTTTGTTATAAAATCGCTCAAATCATTGTTATTGTTGCGGACCCGTGTGGACTCGACCTAACCTAACTTTATGTTCCGCCCTCAGATGACCTTTACATCGCATTAAAGAATAGACACCGTAATGATTCATTCGGACGTTCGAGAAAAATCGAGATCCACTGGAATGGAGTAGTACATACGAGAACAATCGAAACCTTCTCTATGCACCTAACGATCTATGGACTATTCTAGAAATCTTTAGCTGTAGTTATAAAAGCCGGCGGCTGTGGCCTAGAGAGGGCAGTTATAAATAGACGAGTACAGTTGACGCGCTAAAATTCAAAAATAAATTCTTAGTTATAAATCGTTTGTAAATAGTTCTTTAAGTCTTTTATCGTTATTATTTTTCTTAATTAGTGTTAAATAAATTGTGACTTTCTATCCACACGGAACCGACGAAAAACGTAACAATTGGTGTCAAGTGTGGCGTGTGTGATAGACTAGGAAAATAAAAAGGCAGACAATGGCTCCGAAAAAGTTGTTGAAAGACTTGAAAGTGTCGGAACTAAAATGCTTACTGGAAGAGAGGGAATGCGAAACAGATGGAAAGAAAAGCATTTTGCAAGCCAGACTGGGAGACGTTTTGATTGAGGAAGGTGAGGATCCTGACACATTTTGCTTTGAGTTGGAAGATGACCTTGACTCGTCCTTACAAAAATTAGAAGACAATTTGAATAGTAAAATAACTGACTTGGAAGTTAATTTAGAAGATAAAATCAGTGATAAAATTATGGAAAATTCCCAGGATTTGCAAGAAACTTTAAATGATAAAATGAACATTTAAGAAAAGAAGATCGCAGAAAATTCTAAATACATACAGGCCAGCTTCAATAATAAAATATTGAATTTAGAACAAAGTTTATACAACAAAATAACAGAAAACTCCAGGGAATTAGAAGAAAAGATAATAGATACACAAGACAAAATAGCACAGATTGAGGACGATATTAACAGAAAAATCGAAATTTTAAAAGAAGAAATAGCGAAGTCAAATTCACCAAAATGTCAAGAAACATCGGAGGAGCCGAAACTAGTCGAAAATAGGTATGCCTCAAAATCAGTTATGAAACCTCCGCAGTTTGACGGAAAAACCGCTTAGGCCAATTATTTTTGCCAATTTGAGGCCGAGCGAACGGATGGACAATCGCTGAAAAGGCTACCGCTTTGACTGTCGCACTGCGAAGAGATGCGACTGATATCCTGCAGACACTGTCACCATTGGAACAGGGAGATTATCAGCAATTGGTACGACATTTAGAAATGAGGTACGGCCAAGCTCATTTGAAACATGTCTACCATTCCCAGCTCAAAAATCGTGTTCAACAGCCTAATGAGACCCTAAGAGAATATCAAGCTGAAATAGTCCGCCTTGCATACCCTGCTATGCCCGAAAATGTTATGGAGCGCTTAACAGTACAGGCTTTTATTGATGGTTTACGTGACAACGAGACAAGGCAAACACTTCTTTTAGCTCATCCAACGCATTTGGGAGATGCCCTAACACGTGCCCTGCAATTTGAGGCCGCGAAAGAATGCTCTAGGTCTCTAGGATTTGTACGGGTTGTTGAGGAGTGTTCCGACGATTCCAAAGTGGAATGGATTGAGCGGAAAGTACTGGATCATTATATGAGCAAGAAGGGGGGACCGATTCGCTGTTGGAATTGCGGACAGATGGGAAATCGTTGCAAAGAAGAGAAAGAAGTGAAAGTCTTAAGGACGATCGGGGTTGGTGATAGTTAGCAAACCGAAGATCTTGCAAATGACCAAATCAGCGATCCAGAGTTGTGCTTGGTGATTAACTGGAAATTAACTGGTAACTGGAAAAAAACGCGGACCAGAGACCAACGTGGGGGGAAGTTTGCAGATATTCGCCGAACGTGAAGTCGTACTGGTCCCAGTGGAATTCATTGGTAATAGATAACGGATTACTTCGCCGTGTGATTGAGAGACCAGAGGGACAAGAAGAGAGAAGGCAGATCGTCATTCCAAAGAAGAGGGTCCCGGAAGTATTGGCGGAAATTCACAATGGAACCAGCGGTGGACATCTTGGTTTTAGCAATATATATATATATATATATATATATATATATATATATATATATATATATATATATTGGTATAGCATATATATATATATATATATATATATATATATCAAGTATAATATATATATATATATATATATATATATAAGTATATATATATATATATATATATATATATATATATATATATATATATATATATATATATATATATATATATATATATATATATATATATATATGTATGACTTGACGATTTCATGGCCCGATACAACAGCAGTCAGAAGGCTCGCTATGGTTATTTATTTATTTCGTATGAGAAGCACAAATACAGGATATGTGAATACATTTTATAAACATACACAGAGATAAGCATATATAAACAATCAAATAGTTGTAAAAGAAAACATGCATGAGAAATATAAGGACTTAAAAATATTACAAGTATATATAAAACATATGTTTATAGGCTCGCTATGGTGTAACCAAAGAAGAACAACGAGACCTCTTTTCCGTGCCTCCTGATTATTTGCTCGCTCACTGTGTGGCCCGAGATTTGCGGATGTCCAGAGGAATCGCTGCGACGTTCAATGAGAAGTTTGGGCGTGTCGGAGAACTACGCCGACAGGATTCAGAGGTTGGAAGCGTCTTGAGGCTAACCGACAATGAACATGGTCAAGCAAGGCACATTTTCTACCTAGTCACCAAGAAATGGTCCCCAAGTAAGCCGACTTATCTCAATCTATGGAAGACCCTGATTGAACTGAGAGAAGCCTTGCTAAACAACATTACACGATTAGCCATTCCGAAACTGGCGTGCGGACTCGATGATTTGAGTTGGCGTACAATCCGGAACATGATTGAAGTCTTGTTCAGATTTACGGGTATCGAGATCCTCGTTTGCTGCTACAACCCAAAGCTGAGATCGGGAGAGAAAACTGTAGACTGCTATTTCTACCTGACTTCTCAGTGTACCATGGGCCAGCTTTGCAAATACCTTCATTCACCGTGTACATCTCGGGACGAGCATGTACCTAAGAAGGGGGCAGTGTTGCGGACCCGTGTGGAGTCGACCTAACCTAACTTTATGTTCCGCCTTCAGATGACCTTCACATCGCATTAAAGAATAGACACCGTAATGATTCATTCGGACGTTCGAGAAAAATCGAGTTCCACTGGAATGGAGTAGTACATACGAGAACAATCGAAACCTTCTCTATGCATCTAACGATCTATGGACTATTCTAGAAATCTTTAGCTGTAGGTATAAAAGCCGGCGGCTGTGGCCTAGAGAGGGCAGTTATAAATAGACGAGTACAGTTGACGCGCTAAAATTCAAAAATAAATTCTTAGTTATAAATCGTTTGTAAATAGTTCTTTAAGTCTTTTATCGTTATTTTTTTTGTTAATTAGTGTTAAATAAATAGTGTTTAAATAAATTGTGACTTTCTATCCACACGGAACCGACGAAAAACGTAACATTATTTTAAATTCAATCCTATGTACATGATTAAAACAATTAAAACACAAATACAATTGCTTTTCAACGATTTTTCATGTTCGTATACCTAAAATTTCTGGTTTCTTTAGTAAAGCCATTTAAAAGAAAAAGATAATAACTCTATTATAGTTGTTTCGTTGAAAGAAAATCGTTACCATGACAAATATTCAAACTTCAAAATTATCAATTAGAGGTTAAGCTTCATTCAGAACCTCCCAATTAGTGGAATAAATTAGTGGTTTCAAATACACTTTATACTTTTTAGTTTACAATCATTCACAATGTCTAAAAAACACAATTAAAATTAATAAAATATCCTAGCAACAGCTTGCAGTAGTCTGTTGTATCCATAGAGAAAGCATAATATTTAGCTTATAAAACAATAAACTTTTGATTTCTAACCAAATTTTTTCTTCACGGGTGATAATCAAAGGCCAAAATGACATTCCTGGCAAATTTTGAGGTATAATTAGTGGAAAAGTTGAAGGTTTGTTAACTTTTTCCACTAATTGAAAATTCCTATCACTAATTATGATGTTCTGAATGCTTACATTAAAATTAGGTGAACAAACTTCTACGGCTAATTGAAACTACTAATTTATTCCACTGATTTCGAGGTTCTGACTGGTTCTGAATGAAGTTTTGAGTTTTCTTGCTAAATTTCTAAAATTGTCATGGTAACGAAATTTTTGAAATGATACTGTAATAATAAAATTATTAATTTTTAAATAGCTCTACTTAAAAAACCGGAAGGTTTCGGTATGGGAATATGACATATCGTTGTAAAGCTATTTTATTACTCTTTTGATGTTTTAAATAATATACATAGGGTTGAATTTAAAATAAGAAAGATTTCAGCAATTTTATAACAAACGGAAATAAATATTTGTTTGGCTTTCCCTGTGTAGTATCCAGTGAGTTTATTTAGACAGATTACTTTAACTTATAACCCAAATTTCACCTTTTAAAATGTTCATTTCATGATTTTACCAATGCTTATTCGAGATCATGTTTTTGTCAATCTTCCACATGTTTTATTTAGTATCTCAAAAATGTTAGAGATAGGTATGGGTTAGTATAATAGAAAAATTATGAGATATGAAAGTAGTTTCGAAAAATGTAATAATATACCGGGTGTTCCATTTAAAGTAAGAAAATATTTTAGATAGATGGAGCAGGTGCCTTTATGTATAAATACATATTTTCAAAAAAAATTCACTGGTTCTCCATAAACGTCTTAACATGCCATCACCGTCAATCACCCTATATATCGAGTCTAATTTTTTTATTCTGTAATTATTATTTTAGGAGACTCAAATAGTACGAGTAGTTCAAATGACTCGTTGTCTTCCACATCCAGAGATGGCACTTTACTCATTTCATCTACCAGTCAGACACCGAAAAAGACGGAAAGGTCCAGTGCGAGGCTTGGTTATCCAGTGTACAAGTCGCCAGGAAATGTGTAAGTGTATTAGTAACTAACCTAAGTTTATTGATAGCATTGTAATATCTAAATTGGTGTAAGTTTTTGGGTTTGTGCACTGGTTGTACAAGGGTAGGTAGCATGTTTTTCTTCAAGTAACAAATACTGATTTGTTAAGGTAAATGTATAATTGTAGTATTTATTTTATACTTAATAAAAACTTGTCAAATCCGATACCTTCATACCTTCAAAGATATACTAACAATGTTTCAATTTTTTTAAGACTTAAATCGCCTTTATATCAGGGTTAGGCGATAGTGCGTCGGGCATCTGTAGCTCCTGGAATAAAAGACTTAACTTAAACAGAAGAATTTTGTTTAAGTGAAAACCTAAAGTATGTACGAGGATATATAATATTTTTACTTCTATAGGGTGGCTCATAAAAGTTTCAATGGGTCGGGATGATTTTTTTAAACGGAACACACTGTATATTGTTGCAATTTTGGCTTCCTTTCAGACCACTGTATATAATCCTAAGATATGAGTAAATATATTTCGATAGTTTCAGAGATATTAATAAATAAATTAAAACCCTATATTTTTCACCCTTCCTTAAAAAAATTATTACAAATACAAGAACTGTCCTGAAATTAAAACTATATTAGATATTTACTTTAGATGGTCTGTACTTACTTTGCTATAAATATGGTAGTCGTAAATCATACAGGATGTTCAAAATTCTACGCCAAACTTTCTAAAATATAAAATAATTTTTCTTTGTTTTTTTGAAGTGAAACACCCTGTATATTATTTTTTTATTAGACGGAGAGTTAAAAAATGAACGTTTTTTGTATTTAAAGTATTTCATAATGCTCTTTCAACGGTAAAATACGAAAGAAAAATTATTGCGTGGCTTTGATAAAAATTCACTGTAGTAAATGCTATATGAAATATAAAACCGGGAATATCTGCGAAACCGTTAAAAATTTTGAAATACTCTAAATACAAAAAATGTTCATTTTTTAATTCTCCATCTATAGAAAAAATAGTATACAGGGTGTTCCATTTAAAAAAAACGAAGAAAAAATATTTTAATTTTAGAAAGTTCGCCATAGAATTTTGAACATCCTGTATGATTTACGATTACCATATTTATAGCAAAGTAAGTACATGTCATCTCAAGTAAATACCTAATATAGTTTTGATTTCAGGACAGTTCTTGTATTTTTAATAATTTTTTTAAGAAAGATTGAAAAATATATATTTTTTATTTATTTATTAAAATCTGTGAAACTATCGTAATATATTTACTCATATCTTAGCATTATGGAAAATGATCTGAAATAAAAACAACAATGTAATATACAGGGTATTCCATGTAAAAAAAATCATCCCAATCCACACAAACATCCAAAATCTGCCCTCCCTCTATTGCTCTCACGTTTTCTCCTATTTAAACTGCTTTTTTACTTTTACTTGCATGCTTCTACTAACCAATAATGTAGGACTCAGCTTTCCAAGCAAGCTGGATTTCTGAATATCACCTCGCCTGGACCAAAAAGCCCTACATTCAGTAGAGTTCGGTACGTAGATATTGCTGGATCAGAACACAAAGAACAATATATTTTTTTATATTACGAGTACATTATCATGGGGCATTCATTTTTTTATAATTCGTGAAAATTTTTGGCAAGTTTTATGTCAATTTTTAGTCTAGAGATTGACCTCGCAAAAATTGTCATTCGCCAGTCGTCAATGACGCCGTTTTTTTTTCGATACCGGTCTTAAAAAGCTGATTTCAGAATTTTAGTTAACAAATTAATATATTTTTCTTGGTGTTTGTTGAAAATAACATATACAATGCTTTTGGTAACTGTAATATTAATATTAATGTAATGTACCGTATGATCGAAAAAAAATGGCGTCCAGTTTGCTGAGAAATGACGATCGATGACATTTCTCATATAAATTTACATATAAAATGACAGCGATCTTCATTTCGCAGCCAAATGGACGCCATTTTTTCTCGATCATACGGTAGGTTATGTACAGGGATCAAATTTAAAATATATGTCATAGCTCTGGGTACTATGTAAGGAAATTATGTATATTGAAGTTAATAATTTCCGTATAATATAATAGAGTGTAAATAAATGCGAAAAAATCAAGGAGTGTTTGGTTTAAACAATGTGTTCCTATAAAAAATTATTTACTAGCCGTTCCGGACAAAATTATTTGATAATACCCCCATATAGTTTGATTTAAATAAATGGACACAATTTAGAATAAAATATAAAATATAGGGACCGGCGAAATGGAAAAAAATATAAGAAAAAATGTGTATTTATAAAAATTGCCTTCCGATATTTTCACACGTATTCATTTACACCCTGTACATTACTAATAATCTATATACATATAAATATTACAGGCGAGTTAGGACACTCTACGCATGTCTTGGAGAACATGATGGAGAATTATCATTCGAACCAAATCAGATCATTACCAATGGTAAGAATATTAGATTTATGTTTGTGTTTCGGTTTTTTTTAGTGTGAATACTTGTTTTATTTATACAGGGTAGTCCGAACTATATTCCGGAACCTTCGGCAGCATATTCTGCAGATAAAAATAAGTAAAACAGTTCGTATCAATGTATGTCCTAAAATGCTTAGTTTCGGAGATACAGAGTGTAGAAGTTTCGTTTTTTATTTCAATTTTTTTCAAATAATTTCTGAAGCAACGTCAGTATTTGGATGATAATTGGTGTCTGGGAGTTATTGGACATGAGAAATTTGATTTTGATGTCAATATGACTCCTATTTGTAGGGGGCGCCACATATATGTGTTTTAACTGTTTTGAAGAGTAATAACTTTTTGTATGTATCTGTATAAAACTACTGAGTGAAAAAACATATATTTCCGTGACTTTTTACATGAAAAATATCTCTTGGTAAAAATCAATTGGTCAATACATGTCATTATTGACAAAAAAATAAACATCTTGACTAGACAGTTATTTGCCTGAAATAATAAATTTTGGAAATTTTTATTTTTTAAATTAATTATAAATTTTTCTGGCAAAAAATGATGATAAAACAGTTTCTGTTGAACTTTTGGCACAAAAACTTATCAAATTTATGATTTTACTCTAATAACTATTTAGTCAACATGTTTAATTTATATCAGTGTTGATAGGTATTATTAATTTCGATTCCAAATATCTCAAGAACCATTACTCGTAGTGATTTTTACCAAGAGATCTTTTTTACGTAAAAAACGTCGTAAATGTATATTTTTTACCCACCAGACACCAATTTTCATGCAAATATTGATATTACTTTAGAAATTATTTGGAAAAAATCGAAATAAAAATGAAACTTCTACACCCTGTATCTCCGAAACGAAGCATTGTAGGACTTAAGTTTATACAAACTTTTTTACTTATTTTTATGTGCAAAATATGCTGCCGAAGTTTCCGGATATTGACGCTCGTAATATTGACTATTTGAATATTTATAATATCATTTTACAATAGCATTTTTTTTTCGTTTATAGTAAAATCTTCTCAAGAACCGGGTTGGTTAGAAGGAACGCTGAATGGCAAGACCGGTCTCATACCGGAGAACTACGTCGAAGTACTCCCTTGACAAAGCGGTTCTCTGTCCAAAATATCGACTTCCTTGAGACACGGTTTTTGCAGAGCTCTCCATTTGAGCAATACGCCCTGCGAAATGCCTGCGCCAGGGGACACAAGAAGACTTACCATGCACAGACCCAGTTTGGATGGTGCGCTTGTCAAACAGAACAGCGTAGAAAGAAAAAGTTCGACATAAGAGATAATATCCAGAAAAATATATTGGTTTTACATTTTACAATACCAGGTGCATCTCAAAAGTGGCTCACCCGTATAACTTTTTTGCTTTTTCAGATAGAAAAACGGAATTTGGTGTGTTAATGTATAACATAAATTAGGATTGACTGATGTATTCAATTGTTTTTGATCACATCCTGTTTCACCGGAAATTACTACAACTTTTGATTTTTAAATGGCACCCTCGATTTTTTTTTTTACTTTATTCGATAGAAAATGTCACTCAGAATAGAGTCAACTTTTTATATTTTCGCATATGGTTTATTTGAAATTATAATTTGCGGTTTGTAACGAAAATTTGACTTGAAATACCAAGTGGGTGGTATCAAATTATTTGTAAAAAAATGCTTTTTCCAAATATGCTAATGAGCCACCCTCGTTCCATTTGAAAAAATTCAGATATGATTAAAAATACGATTTAGGCATCTTTTAATCAGCCAGGACAAGACACTAAAAACATTAGACGATCAAATCTATTTTTCCAAGGCTCCTTGATTAAGAATCAGTGTTTTTAACATAGCCGTGGCACCCTATATTGAAATTTAAAATACTATTTTTATTAAGCGATAATGTCAAAAGTTGACATATGATATGTCATTCTATTCAGAATATCATTTTCTACCGAATAAAGTAAGAAAATTCCGAGGGTGCCGTTTAAAAATCAAAAGTTGTAGTTATTTCTGGTGAAAGAAAAAGTGACCAAAAAGAATTGAATACGTCAATCAATCCCAATTTATGTCATATACTAACATACCAAATCTCGTTTTTTTATCTGAAAAAATAAAGTTATAAGGGTGAGTCATTTTTGAGACGCACCCGGTATATTGTGGTAACAGAATTACCGATCAAAAAATAATAAAATAATAGAGTAGGTATATGTCAAAAATGGCTATACCTCTGTAACGGATTCATCTCTTCAAAAAAGGCCTATGGGTATTTTGCCATTTGCACTACAAGAAAATCTGCAAAATAAAATAGTTATTTTTTGTAAAAGAACAAATAAAAACCCATTTAAAATATCTAAATACAACTATTCAAGAACACTTTAAATTTTTATACAGGGTCGCTGTTATTTTAAATGTCTATTGGTGAGTAATAAATTTATGTATACAGGTCGGTCATAAAGTCGCGACACATCAAAGTTTCATTTTTTTAAGTAGAACCCCCTGTATATTATTACATATTTCAATTCTCCCTTCAATTCTAAGCAAAAATCTAAATACACATAATGTACCTCAAAGCAACCGTTTCCGAGTTATTGACTTTTGAAAATATCACTTAAACAATTAGATTTAACTAATTTCGATGTATTTGGTTTGATTTAATGATGCCAATCTGCCGAAACTGTGATACTGTTGTAATGGGATTTTAAATTACTATTAGCTACTAGTAAATTTAAGTATACAGGGTCGGTCATAAAGTTGTGTCACATCAAACTTTTTTTAATGAAACCCCCTGTATATTATTGCATATATCAATTCTTCCTTCAATTTTAAACAATAATCGTAATACAGAATGTACATAAATTGAAGAATTGAAATGTTAAACGAAAATTTTGTAATTTCCAGACTTGCTATACTCTCATTTTATACATCTATAAATGCTTGAGAACTAATGTAAAATATTATTAAGAATCACAGTTTCGGTAAAATGGCATCATTAAATCAAACCAAACACATCGACATTAGTTAAATCTAATTGTTTAAGTGATATTTTCAAAAGTCAATAACTCGGAAACGATTGGTTTGAGGCACATTGTGTGTATGTCGATTTTTGCTTGGAATTGAAGAAAGAACCGAAATATGCAATAATATACAGGGTGTTCCATTTAAAAAAATGAAACTTTGATGTGCTACGACTTTATAACCGACCCTGTATACTTAAATTTATTACCCGCCAATAGCTATTTATAAACCCTATAACTTTTATATTTAACTTTTTGCGGTACCTCTAATATTTTACCTAATAATCGACCGTTTCTATATACATATAAGCGACCCTGTAGATAGTAACTGTAGAATCACTGCCGAAGTTGGTCTCCGTTGGATTAACACCAGCAGTGTTTACAAAAAATAACTATTTTATTTTGTAAATTTTCTTACAGTGGCGAAATACCCATAGAACTTTTTTGAAGAATATATGTCGAAATAATCGGTGTTCATATGTCGTTTTAATTTGAATTTCATTTCATTTCATTGACATTTGACAGATTTTAATTAAGGCACTTAATACAATAACCAGAAAAAAAAATAGCCATCCTCGTCTAAAACTATAAAAGTATGAATTGATATACAAAAAGAGAATTTTTTAAATAGGTACCGATTTTTATTAGAACGTACTGTCATTTTATAGATCTTTACAATTTCGTCTGTTAGTTTAATGCCAAAAAACATTTTTTATGCAATAGCTATACCGGGGGGTGCATCGTCGTTGGCAACAGGAAATCCTATGTAAATTTTCAACTGTTCACATATTGGCTCTCCTATTAATTTTCCAGCTAAGTCGTAAATGGGTTTTTTAAAGGCCTGCCTATACTGAATACACATGCCAAATTTGAACAATTTTGGACAAGCCGATTTTAAGTAATTTAAGAAAAACTGTGTTTGCATCTATTTTTAAATTATTCAAACTGAACCCGTAACAAAATACAAAACTAGTCAAATGTCAACATACTTCAAGTTGTCAACAACAGACAGTTCAAAATTAGCTTGTGATTTTCTGTTTCCGACGACGATGCAACACCCTGTATATCGCGTGATTCGTCTGTTACAAAATAGGTGTTAATCTATATTTGCTTTATAGAAAATTTTTCTTATAAATCCAAGTTTAATCGTACTTAATTTATTAACTACTTAATTAAATAACTACTTAACTTAAAATTATGTTTGTATGAACAAACTTTATTTCAGTAACTTATTTGTTTGTTTTTGGACACCCTGTATGTTGAAATAATTTGAACTGATGATATTTTTAGATCTTCTTCAGTGTCATTCGATATTATTTCTTAAAATTTTCAATATAATACACAATATTAGAGTCAAACTATGATGCTTTAAATTTGATTTATAAGTAAAAGTTTTTAAAAAAATTGTATTGATTAACTTTTTATATGTACTTGTAATCTATAACTTTTTGAAACACCTTGTGTAATAAGTAAGTAAAAATTTTAACACCAATTAAAAATGCCCTTTAAAATAGTAAAGGCAGAAAAGCTGCCTTAAATGTATAGTCGAAGCGATGTAAATAGACCACTAAATATATTCAGATTGAAAAGAAAGTAAAATAAAATATGTATATATTATTATAATTTCCCTATAATCTTATTTATCAGTATTGTAATTTTATTTGCTCCAGCGTTTTTAGGTTACTGTAATTTTTCTGTGATAAAATGCACTTTTATTCCCTTCATATCAATTTTAATATTTTTTTTATTGCTACAATTTTTGTTTGTATTTATATTTCTAGAAAAACTATATACAAAACAATGATATCACTCAATGGACGCATTTTTTGTAAAATCTTAAAACATTTGCTAAAACAGTTTTTGCATATTATCTTGAAACAACGTTTTTGGGATAAGTCGGCTTTTGCAATTTGACAACTCAATTATTTCATTATTTTATTAATAAAACAACAAAAATTTCTAATAAAGTATACCTAAATATATTTTTTTTTATAAATGGCTTAACTATATATACGTGGTGTGCTAAAAAGTTCGCAACAAATGGGATTTTTTTATTATCGACTTTTTAGCACTCCCTGTATAAGGGCTCTAACTCACTGACGACCAGGTCGCAACGACCTGGCCGTCGCGAGTCGGCTGGCCGGATATATTACGTTTATAGCTGCGGCCAGATGAACGACCAGTTTCAACAGAGTTGTCAGATCTAACGTTTTTTACATTTTACCAATTAGAAAATATTGTTTCAGAAAGAATTAAGTTTCAGAAATGTTAAAATATCCGAGTTAACTTAAAAGCGAAGTTGCTATTCATGAGCTTATTAAATGTTCTAATATTAAATAATGCATTTAAAATATTCTTGGATTTTTCGTTAATAAATACTGGTGTGGTAAATGGAGTAAGTAAAATTTCCAACCCCGACTATACGATAACGTCGTTATGTCCATATGTCCATATCGTTTCATAACAGAATATTCTACATCCTACGTATATGTAATTTAATATGTGTAGAGTGGGACATGTAACTCGTGAGATTTTCAGCATTATATCAATAAAGGACAAAAACAGTATTGTTCCTAAAGGTGCGTCCAGACTTGAGCATTTTAGCCCGAACGAACCGAGTGCGCACGAACAAGCAGAACAAATAGGCCGAACAAAAAGCATTGTGTACGCGCGACCGACAAAAAGGGAGATATTCTGTTTCTTTTTTCTACTGATATGGACTTCTACTGATGGCTCTTATCGACTTTAGAAGTAAACATATTAGGGCCATCGTAAAAAAAGGTCGTCAGACACTGGCTCTAAATATAAGCAGGTAGAAAGTTTAGCTTCCAGTTATTTCAATGTTTACAATATAAATACCTCTTTTTTATTATTACTGAGAATCTACAACAGTAAATACTTCTATTTTTATGAATGTTTAAGTTACTTTTACTCTTAATTTTTTTTAAATAATGTACCTAGTAGAGATATAGTCTAATGGACCCTGTTTGAAAAATGTTAAATTAAATATAATATTTAAAATACAGTTGTCCTCCTTGTACATGACTACAAAACAACTAAAAAAAATAATTTAATAAAAAAAAGTTGTTGTAGAAAAACTTTAAATATGATTTTTTTATTTTTTAATATCGAAATCGAAGGTATCATACCAACCATAAATAGAGTATGTCATATAAAAATGTTTTGAATTTTTACTAGAATCGACCCTTGATAAAAAAGGGACTAGATTTAAGTTTCCCTTTGATCCAGTCTGCATACTATTTCTTTGGATTTTCTACACGTGTGCAAAAACTACACAAAACACTATATCTTATAGAAAATAAAATATTATGCATTGAATTTGAGGGATTTCATCTGAAAAATTATTAATTTGGAAGAAAACCGGCAACAAGCGGCAAAATTATAATATTTTAGTGCAGTCTACTGGTCGCAACGACCAACGGACGGCCAGGACGTTAGTGTGCGCTGTATCATTTGATTTAATGGTTTTAGAGGTAGCAGCGGCCTGGCCGGTGCGACCTGGTCGTCAGTGTGTTCGAGCCCTAAGAACCGGTACTATTATTTAAACATTCTTGTTTAGAATTACAACCTTAAGATAAAAATATCTTATGAATGGATATCAATTATTAGATGTAAAGAATTCGTATTCTGTTATTCAACTATTTTAGGTTATTCATTTTTAGCTGATAAATGGGACCATAATAATTCCAACAAAAAAGAAAAACTCGTAATTTTTTATGACTAAAAGAGCAATATTTTAATGCATTTAGTAAGCATTCCTTTCCATTATACATATTAATATTATACGAAATTAGACATATCATTTTTTTTCAGTTACCCTAAAATATATATTAAGCCTTAATATTAAAGATATTACGAAGCAATCTAAATAAAATATTTTGAGCAGATCATTTCTAAGACTGTTTATGTTTGACCATTACATAAAATTGTTTGTAACATACATAAACATCGTAAATGATCTGCTAAAATATGTTTAATGTTCTAGTACCCTGTATATTATTTGGTATTCTTTTTACTTGTGATATACCCTACGATGAAAAAGTTTTATCATAACATACTTTATCATAAAACTTTTTTTATTACAATGTATATATATATGATATCGCATTTATATTGTTATTGTGTGAAAAAAATAATAACTAATTTCCCTTTAGGCATTGCTTAGTTCTATATTTACTTTGTATGATATGTTCCCTCTCATTTTACATTCTAATTTTGAGAAAATATATATTTTATTATTTGTTAAATTTTTTTTGTTTTCTTGATATAATGGTAATTTATTGTTGTAATATATTAAAATAAATAAAAGTCATAATATGGTTTATTAAAATTGACGTTTTATTGTACAAGAATTGAAATAAATGATTTAAATATATTACCTAATTAATTTGAACAGAGCGCAGGAAAATATCATTCCTAAAACCTGAAAAGAACAATTTAAATTAATGATGTGCAGAAAATGGAAGGCAATATGTGAGATTGGAAATAATTTTTGAAGTGAAACTTCTTTACGCGCGATGGGGGTAAAAATTCAAGGCCGTCACACACGAGACGCGAGAGGAAAAGTGGTAATGATCTTGGAGTATCGTAACTCAGGCCGTATGTGAGCTAAAAGGCTGAAACTCGGAATGTAGATATTTCCATGATACTGTCAAGGTGTATGTGGCGCTAAACTATATTGCTGGTTGCCTACATTGTCGCAACGTGTATTGAGAAACCTGGCGAATTCGCCGGAAAGTGAAAGACGTTTTTGTTGAAGCGCCATCTCTTAGCTAAGTGCAAAAGCGAATCGGGCAGCGGTGGAATTTTCCAGTAGGAAGTAGAACGCTCTCTGAGAATTTTAGAAGCTTCAAGAAACAGTCAGTAGAGTATATAAGCCCGCGTAATCGGCAATTGGGACCATATATTGGAACTAGAGGTGTGTAGTTCGTGAACGAACTAGTTCCAATGAACTATTCCGACCCCGGAATGAAAGGAACTAGTTCCTGGTTTCTCAAAGAACTAGTTCCTCAGGACCTGTTCCGGGATCGAGACTGTGACCGATATAGAATAATATGCGACGGATCGGCTAGCGCGCGTAGCCCGATAGTAGGCAGGAGTGAGGAGAGCCAGCCGTACGTTAACGGATCCGGACCTAGAGGAACTAAACTAAATAAAAGACTAGAGACTAGTTTACGTGCGAACGGATCGGGTCAGCGCGATCGATGCTAGGCAGGAGTGGGGAGTGCCAGCCGTATGCCGTATGCATATACGTATTACTTTTTACAAATATACTCAGCCTAATCTCCAAAAAGTGAAGCCCAAACAGTGAAAGAGAAATATGGAATTCTGCATAAGTCTATTTCACCCGGTTATTCATTTAACTGCGCATGCCTTACCTGAAGAAGTTTTCATTGGTCGATGTTTTTAGAGGGAAGTGGTTGACTGACATTTCACCTAACCTTCAATTTTATTTATATTTTTATTATTTATAACACATTATCATGGAGTTGGAAAAATATGAAAAAATAGTTGAAAACAATAAACTAAACAAAATCACTCTTTTACGCGCACAAATAAAAAGTAATCCAAACAGAACTAAAACAACAATCAATCGGAGTTTGGCGCAATCGCAGTTCAATCGATATCCGGGTGAAATAGACTTATGCAGCATTAATATGGAGCTGAGTTATGTTGTCTTTTTCTTACGGCACGGAAACAGCACACGGGGTTGAATAGGGAACACTGAGTATATATAGTTATATGTATATAGCCGTATGTTATCGGATCCGGACCTAAAGGAACTAGAGGAACTAAATAAAAAACTAGTTTACGTATGGAACAGCCAGCGCGATTGATGCTAGGCAGGCGTGGGGAGTGCCAGCCGTATGTTATCGGATCCGGACATAGAGGAACTATTAAAAGACTAGTTCACGGGAATCTATTCAGTCGGCAGATCCGAGATATAATACAGGCGACGACGATGGATTCGGCCTTGTCTATTGCCACAACCGGCGTGGCGTAATTACCACAGAAAATTGTCGTAGATACTGTTTTTGATTTTTAGTTTGTTTTTTAAATATTTTATGGGAATGTTTCACTTTCGGTCCCTAAAATTAAGAAATATCTTATAAAACGAAGTAGATATTCTGAATTTTTAGACAAAAACAAAAAGCTTGAAGTGAGGAAAAATGCAATTTTTCGTAAAATTTTTGTAATATTTGCTCCAATTGATTTGTGATATAGTTTTTTAAATTCTGATTTGGGTTTTTTTATTTTTTTTTATCTGCAATAAAACTTACCTATATGTTTTTAACATACACAATTACACGTCTCGTTATATCTCCGTACATTATAAAAATTATACAGATCATACTGTGAATAGTTCTGACTGACAACGAAACGCATTAGCAAGCAAGGGGGATGTCAATGTTAGTCGGGAACTATTGTGAACTAAAGACCTAGTTCAAGGAACTATTCCTCTGAAGGAACTAGAATTAAGGAACTAGGTCCTCCCAAGGAACTAGAATTCCCACCTCTAATTGGGACAGTTTGAATATTATACCGCGTTTTTAAATTGTGAATCGGACAATTTGGTGAAGGAATTTTATAAACAGTTAGTTGTGTGTTTAATTAGTATAAATTGTATGTAAATAGTAAATTTAGAAGACAAATAAATTCGTTAAGTATTTTATCGTGAGTTTAAATTAGTGGACCCACGGAATCCGTAACAATACTTTGACGACGTGTGACGTTTGCCTCAATTGGGATAGTTTGAATATTATACCGCGTTTTTAAATTGTGAATCGGACAATTTGGTGAAGGAATTTTATAAACAGTTAGTTGTGTGTTTAATTAGTATAAATTGTATGTAAATAGTAAATTTAGAAGACAAATAAATTCGTTAAGTATTTTATCGTGAGTTTAAATTAGTGGACCCACGGAATCCGTAACAATACTTTGACGACGTGTGACGTTTGCCTCAATTGGGACAGTTTGAATATTATACCGCGTTTTTAAATTGTGAATCGGACAATTTGGTGAAGGAATTTTGTAAACAGTTAGTTGTGTGTTTAATTAGTATAAATTGTATGTAAATAGTAAATTTAGAAGACAAATAAATTCGTTAAGTATTTTATCGTGAGTTTAAATTAGTGGACCCACGGAATCCGTAACAATACTTTGACGACGTTTGGTGCACTACGAAACCCCATCATCAATGAAAAAATCGTCCAGTTTAAATGAAATTTGGTATGTCGATAGATTGGACCAAGGCCAACTTGACCGTGTACGACACGTGTCACTGTGACAGTTAGTTTTCACGTAAGAAACGCCAGAAGTTGACGTCGTCCGATCACGACCAAATTTGGTGGGTAGTCTGCAAAGTTGGATACAACGTTTCGTTTACATCTTCATCAGGGTGGGACTAAGGATTTGATATTGAATAAAAATGTGGGTCGATTTGGGCATAATTGGGGACGGGCTACAGCATGACGCCCCCGACGTTTCGAACTGATGCCTCTAAATGGACGAAGTCATCAGGATTTTTCTTAATTATGGGTCGATTGGAACCGAACTCGGCACGTGGATGGCGGTACCCGAATGAAGTTCTCAAACGGTCAGACAGACAGAGGAAGTAAGAAGAAGTTTCACTTCAAATATGCGTACATACTGAACACAATTTTTTTATAAAATAAATTACTAGAATAGAAAAATCTCAAATTTTTAATAATTACAATAATATAAAATTAGCATGTGATCCAATGACGATATACCACCCGGTATAATTTCTATACTGTAGAATAACACACAACAGTATAGGCTTGGTGCATTCTCCGCCGATGCTGCCACCGCCGGGAAATATCGTAAATATCGAATACATACAAATACACGGGTTTAAATGGCGAGTAAACGAAAAAAAAAGTATAATTTGTGGAAATTCTAAACAAAAAAATAAAAAGGTAAATATTTTGATATCTTCAGAAGGTCTAACTTGCTATGTTCATAAAACATTTAATCACTAGTTGATTAAAAAAGTATACCATTAATATTGCAAATTATATTTCATCCTCTCATAGTATATGTCTATTTAATTTTTTGAATATGTAACGAGCACTTTAATTGTTAACTCACTTGTTTCGTCGAACTGCTTGAATCCATTTTTGCTATTGATCAAATCGGTGTAAGAAATTATGAAGCTATAAAATGCTGTTTTGGGAGAGTTGAATATCTGGGAAAGTTGAGTTATTGAATGTTATTGCACCCAACAACGCTCTAATTACGCTCTCCTTTACGCGTTAACATTTTTTTGGGCAATTTTATTAACATTTGAAATTATCACAACACAACAAGACGCCTAGTTCGAATTCTTTTTCACTTATTTTTTACTACCCGGAACAGTGTTACATCACACAAACCTCGTACCTGAGTGTTTTATAGTCTCAAAAACTGCACTAGCAAAAAACTAAAATACTTAAATATTATGAGAAAACCCCGATTTCAATATTATTTTAATGCGATCGACATGACGGCGCGGCGGCGTGAACTATATATTGTTAATTTCTAATTTCTGCCGTAGAGTGCGCTGCGGTCGGAATTTGTTGAAATCAACTGAAATACACCAAGCCTATACTTCCTTAAACTATTTGATATATTTATCTAGGAACATTTCAAAACTTACCAAAAAACATGATACAACTATACCGGACGTTCCAATAATAATGGCGTGCGTTTTAACGAATTCCGTAGTAACGCTTAAGCAACCTCTGGTATGAATGGTAAACTCGTTTTTGATCTCGATTTGCTGGCAGTTAATTGGTATACCCGATGAAGTCGTCTTACAACATGAATCCGGAATCCTGTCTCTCCAATCCTATTTAAGTTAAATTGAGATTTCTTAAAATCAGATTTAAATACTGGGTTTATTTTTTTCTCAAAGTAAAATTAAAGTTTTTGATTAATAATCTTTAAAGCAGTTAAAAACTTCTGATATAATGACCCGTAAGGACACAGAGTACACTTCATCATAAAGCGTTTGATCATGTATTGTATCGATGTATATGCGAGATACCAATTAAACTTTTAATCTTTTAGTTACGTAATCAAGGGCGCGATTTTTAAATTCATTGTTGGCAACCATGGACATATTCTGCGCCGGGCTGACTAACTGGAATTTAAATTTCCCGCTGGAGATTCATGTGGTAGGTCTGCTGCATTGAGTCTGCTGTAAAAAGTGTCAAGTTTCCACATTTATTTATTTATTTCTTGACTATTGTCATTTCGTTTTAACAATTTAGCTTTGTATTACGAGTTTTTGGTTTAAATGAATTGTGTTGTGATACTTTAAGCTTAAAAAAATTTACTAGCAGACCTTGCAATCGAGCATTGTTCTTTTTAGAACCTCTTTTAGTGCGAAGTGTACAAGATAGCTTAATAGCCGTTGCAAAAAACTCACCCCAACCTTATTAGAATATTTTGAACGGGATAGCGGTAGTAATGGCCCTTTATGTCCCTTAAAGTGCTGTTAAGGAGGTGAGTTTTGTTGATGTAAATAATAAACTGTTTATATATTTATAATTAATTCAATTGACTACAAATAATAATAAAAACTTGACTAAAAATAATTAATTCACGCGACTAAAAGTTTATTTGGTAAGATCTATATATTTACCCTGTATTCGTACACTCCACAACACATCAGTTTGCTTTGGGTTTCGTCCCATGCTTGTGTGACGGCTTTGTTTCTACCATAATCGTTTAAAGATCTGTCCATTCCAAGTCGTATTGTCTTTTCGACTTTTTCTTTAAACACATAGCCAAGAATTCCACCAATTAACATTGTAACGAATATAAGGAATAAGGCTATGAAATACTAAAACAAAAATTAAGACAGAATATTTAAGTGTCAGTTTTGTTTGAAAAATAATTAAAAATGTCTATTCCAAACGACTAATAAAAATTATAGACTAAAAAATAAGAGAGTAGAAACAGGTACTATTCCAAAAGTTTTCTGTTTTATAAGAGGTAGATCTTGGCTTTAGTTTTTGCTGAACCCAAAAGTAGAACAGACTTTAATTGACTTACTATGACTAGCATACACCTCACTTCTTTGACGGATCCTAGGCATCCTAAGAGAGATATAAAAATGACTAAAAGTCCTGTAATAACTAGAACATAGATCGATCCAGAATATAAATTTGTTCCTAGTAGTTCACTAGCGAACGATTTATCTACTAATATCCATAATCCCAGGGCTGTTACGATGATCCCGCCAATCTGAAAAATAAATATATTAAATAATTGTTTTCATAGAAAAAACATCAAGACAAACAGAAAGATCGCTGAAAGAAATGATAAATTTGGTCACTTTTTATTTTATTTAAATTAATATAAAAATTTCTATTGAATCTTTGGCACAAAAACATTTCCAAATTTATTATTTCAGTCTAATAACTATCTAGTCAACATGTTTTTTGATTGGTCACTGATGATATGTACTGATTATTATTCCAGATATATCCAGATCACTTGCAACCTTATTAGAATATTTTGAACGGGAAAGCGGTAGTAATAGCCCTTTGTTTTCCTTTAAGTGAGGTTAAGAAGGTGAGTTTATTGATGTAAATAATAACTGTTTATATTTATAATTAATTTATTTTTGTTTTGTAATTAATTTTTTCTTAATTATTTTGAAAATATTTAAAATGGGCAACGCTATGCCGGTCAAGTTTAATCACGTGACTAAAAGTTTATTTGGCATATACAGGTTGTTAATTTGTTTATTACTAGCGGCAAAAGCTTTATGGTTGAAATAGGGCAAACTCGGTCCACTCGTCGATAGACGACGCGACGGGACGAGTCGGCAGAAAACCCTATAAGTACATGCGTTCTCAATAGGCAGTGTTGCCATTCTGTTCCCCTATAAGTAACTGTCCAGTTAACAACCTGCATATTTGGTATGATCTGTATAATAATTTGTCAGAGCCTTCATATAGTTATGTAGAATGTAGAATGTTTAGGAGGGGAGTTAATCACCGCGACCTTATAGATCTATTGTGTGTTCCCCTTTCTTGAGTTATAACGAGTTATAACTCATCATACAGTCTCAGGGCTTTAACAAAAGCCAGTATCTGAGACGGCTCCACAAAGGCCAGCTCTCCATCCTTGACATCAGACGTACCAAGGTTCATGGCACGAATGGTTGTCGTCTCGGCGCACTCAGTGATAAGGTGTTCTGGTGTTTCCCCATTTCCCCCACAAAATCTGCATTCGCCGTTGTTTCTCAGTTTCAGCCTACTGAGGTGTTCGTTGAGGAGACAGTGTCCTGTTAGAAACCCCGTGACAATCCGAAGATTGTTTTTACTTAAATCAAGGAAAACCTTTGATTTTTTCTCGGTCATAAGTTCTGAGGAACTTTTTCGAGTGTCTTAGACCGTTGGAGGACACCCATTCCAAGTTACGGATGGAGTCTTCCAGATTCTTCAGTTCCGCTTTCAGTTGGTTCCCGTTTGGAAAACAGAACGGTTCTGGTCCAGTTAGTGGAGTGTTCGCTCCTTTTCTAGCTATATCATTTGCTTTTTCATTGCCTTCTATCCCTTGGTGAGCAGGCACCCAGAGTAGGAGGACTTTATTTTCTTTGCCTAATTCGTTGAGCTTCTCTAGGTATTCTTTGACCAACTTCGAATTGATGGTTACTGAGTTGATCGCGTTAAGTGCTGCTTGACTATCGGATAGGATGGCAATTTCCTGTTTTCGATAGTTCCTATCTAAGATAAATTGTACGCATCTTTCGATAGCGCAAATTTCTGCCTGAAGGATACTGGGGTAGGTGCCCATTGGTTCAGAGTATTTAGTTTTCGGCCCAAATACTCCTGTCCCTGTCCCTGCTTTGGTTTTGGAAGCATCAGTATACCACGTGATGGTATGGTCTTTTATATGCTAAGTAAGCGTTTCTTTCTTCCAATCCTTTTTATTACTCAATACTACAGTGAGGTGTTTCTCAAAGTTGTAAATTATTGGTATGTCATCCACTGGGAGTTGGAGAAGGGGAATTTTCTTTTTGAGGGTGTTCCAAACCCCTGACCTGAAAATTCTCCCAGTACTGTTTCCGTCAATGACCATTCTAATCATTGTCGCATTGGCATAACTACCGACGACAATATGCCGTGGTGTTAGGTCTAGAATGACCTCCATTGCTGCTGTTGGACATGTTCTCATGGCACCTGTGATGCAGATACATGCCAGTTCATATAGTTATACAGAGTACCCTAATATTCTGTGGACATAGAACTACTATACGTATTATTGTAATCAAAATGTTTCTCTCAGTAGTGTGTATTACAGGTATAGCACAGGTATATTACAGGTATAAATTACATAGTTGTAGGTAACATTTTTATTATTACATACAACTACATATACAATTATTGCTAAAAACAATTTAAAAATGAAAGTATTTTGGACATTTAATTAAATTATTTAATCAAGAATAACAAAAATATTGTTAATGGAGCAATTCAAGCGTAGTCGTTTCATTGCAAACAACAGGAAATTAAAATTAAATCTAATTATCTCGTGTCTCGAGTCAAATGCGGGTTTTCTTATTTAAGTAAACATTAGCAAATTTTCAAAATTTAAGTATTTGTTTATCTCATTCACATATTGCGACTATCCTTATAATACTACAAATAAGTAAATATTTTCTCCAAAACTATGTTATTCACGTAATTTTGTAAAAATTATTTTTTCCATTGTTCTGTTTATATCATTACAGTTCTTTCAAAGTCAAATAACGTTTCTAGCAATTTACAACAATTGTCCTAAGTAAAGACATAAGTATCAAATGATCGAAAAAATGAGTTAAGGTTGCCTTAGTAATGACGATCACTGTGTCATTTTATATGAAGATTATATAGAACATCAATCATCATTTCCAAGCCAATATGACGCTGTTTTCTTTTTCGATCATATGGTTAGATCAAGAATAATCTGTTATAGGCGCCAAAAGTATTATACTCCTCCCAAAATATACTCATGTACCTATATAAAGCCTTATAAGTAAATAAATAAAGTGTTATAGGGTATAGCCATACCAATTAAACTTTTAATTACGTAATCGAGGGCGCGATTTTTAAATTCATTGCTGCCAACCATGGACATATTCGGGGCCGGACTGACTAACTGGAATTTAAATTTCGCGCTGGAGATTCAGGTGGTAGTTCTACTGTAAAAAATGTCAAATTGCCACATTTATTTATTTATTTCCTGCCATTGTCATTCGTTTTGACATTTTAGTTTTGTATTCCGAGTTTTTGGTTTAAATGAATTATAAATTTTCTGAATAAATTGTGCTCTTTTATTGCGAAGTGTACAAGATAGCTTAATAGCCGTTGCAAACAACTTATCGCAACCTTATTATATTTTGAACAGGAAAGCGGTAGTGATGGCCCTTTATGTCCCTGTCTCATTAAGGAGGTAAGTTTTGTTGATGTTAATAATAATGGTTTATATATTTATAATTCATTTATTTTTGTTTCCTAAAATATTTTGATTAAAAGAAAATATGTAAAAGTGGACAACGTTGTGCCGCTCAGGCTTAATCACGTGACTAAAACTAATAAAAGTTTATTTGGTATGATCCTATAATAATTTGTCAGCATTCATAGTTATACAGGGTATCCCAATATTCATTTGTTCAATTAGATCTCTCGATATTGAAAATACAATATGGCTGTACTTCCGGAAATATGGGAAAACTGACAGCAACTCTCTTATTTCAAATTAATATGCCATCATTTTTCTTATAATATACTTAAATTCCTTGTATAAATTGATGAATTTTAATATGATACCCTAACAATATTCATAATTCATATCAACCGTTTAAAAAAAACTGTCTTGTCACTTGTCAAAGAGAAAAACCATATAGAAAAAATAATTTTATAATATATCAAGTATACGTTAATGAATAAATAGGAGCATCATGGGATAAATTAATTTTAACTTTCGTATAATCGAAAAAAAACATCATTTCTTGCGGCTCTTTTTAGATCATACGGTATTTAGAAATATATAGTTTTCTATAGAAATAATTTATATTCGTACAGAGGTTGTTGAGCGTAATTTTTTACTGTTTACGTGATTAAAAATATTTTGGACTTTATTTAGCAATCACAAACATCTCGCTTATTATTCGTTTTAATTTTAATTATTTACAGCAGCGCATTCAAAAGCCGATAAGTCTAATGATAAACATACTATTTTGTTGTTTACAAATAAATAAAGACACGTTTCTATAATAATTTAATAACAACTCTAACCTATAAAAGGCGCCAAAAACTTACAAAAATAATGAGATTGACGATAAACAAACTGTATTTCATAAAATTGCCACAACCATCCATGTTACTACCCATTCCCATTTTCGTCGATACATAAAATGCACAATAAACACCAAGAAATAATAAAAACAAATAAAAATACACACGAAACTGCACAAAAAATAGGTAGATATTTGGAGGAAGGTCTTCGTTCAACACAATAACTTTCACTTTAACTTGCAAACGCTTGGTCAGTGTGTTATGTTCATTGAGTAACAGTTTTACACCGTGTGTCAAAGAAAACGACCGCTTTTTGTGTGTATTCACTGAAGTTAAGCATAATCACAAGCATAATGGAAAAGATATAGCTGATAGCTGAGGATCTCACAAAAAAAACGTAATAAAATCGCACATTAAACCCTATATTTCACTAAAATTATTGTAGAACAGTATATTGTACCACAACTAGATAAAAAAAACAAGTAAACTATCCATCCACATTAGAAGAATTTGAATTTTTTTATAAGAAATTTGTTTTTTACATTATTTCAGCTGGTTTTAACCTTAGGTTTTAACCACCCCCTAAAGGATAAAATATAAAATGTGCATAGCAGTACAGTTTAAAATAAAATTAGCTCTAAAATCTAAAAAGAAAATTAAACTATTTATACCTATATTATGTATTTTTCAAAGGTAATTAAATATATACCTGGTGGTGTATTATAACACGATATAGTAAATAAGAAAATACCGGGTAAGTTCTCATATAAAGAAATATAACTCGAATTTTATACACTTTTTTGGCCCAGGACCAGGGTATTCTACCAGGTGGTTCTAATATTGGCTCCCCTATTAATTTTACAGCTAAATCGTAAGTAGTTTATTAAAGGCCTGCCTATGCTGAATACATATGCCAAATTTGAACAATTTTGGGTAAACGGATTTGAAGTAAGTTTAGCATGCAACCTTTAAAAAAACCTATTTACAAATTCGCTGTAAAGTAACAGGGGAGTCAATATCTGGACAGTTCAAAATTTACATGGGATTTCCTATGTTTCCCACGACGATGCACCACCCGGTATATCTTTAGTCAGACTTCCCCTACCTGTATCTGCCTGGTTTGAATCACAAAACGTGACCACAGAACGTGACCTACAATAGTAACGTCAATACCTTCCCCCATCCATGCACATATTTCATTCTATGACGTCAACCCATATGGTCAATATGGTTGTACGTATTTAATATTAATGCAACGTTAATAATACCTTCGTACTTTTGGTATTTTCCTTTGCAAATCAAAATGTCCTTCTCATATATTATGTCATTCGGTGCGTAATTCATACTTGATTTATTGCATTCTCTACGAAATAATACTGATTCATTTGGGGCGTCAAGTTGCAAAACCGTCTTATCCCAAAAACGTGTTGTTTCCAGATAAAATGCAAAAACTGTTTTAGCAAATTTTTGAAGATTTTATAAAAAACGTGTCCATTGAGTGGAATCATTGTTTTGTATCTCGTTTTTCTAGAAATAAAATTAATATTCATCTTTTAAAAAGAAAAAACACAAAAATAATTCGGATAAGGCGGGATTTGTTGCATACAGTATGATGCATATTGCGGGTTTTGTTACAGCAAGATATTTGCATCCTAACTTGATTTATTAGATATGCTATATTTTATAAGACGTCAGTAGTAATATTATACTTGTGTAAAAAGCCTATGAAAAAATACGGGATTTGCAACACAATATTAGATTAAGAATAAAAATGCAACAATAATGACAATAAAAAGCAAATAATATATATGTTGGATTAGGCGGATTTTCCTCAGTGACGTAATTTATAGTGAATTTTACATAGGAATAGGTATTTTTTTTAAATGGATTTGTAAAAATTTGTAATAATCAAAATAGTTGAGGATTGAGGATATATGATAATCGCAAAACAATTTCCGATGCACGACGATATCAACTTTGAGTGACAAACGCTGGCGACAGCGCTGCCAGATTGTGATGGATTTATGAGATGAATCTTAATTTAAAAGTGACAAACAATATATTTATTATATCATTTTTTAAAGATTTTTACGTTTTATTTTTAATTTAATAACTAATATTTTAGTGATTAATTGATTTATTTGTTTTATAGCATATTTTACTTATTACATATTGGCAAAAACTAGTCCATTATGAAGATTATTCCAAGCGTTATTATGGGTTATTTATTTATTTATTGATGTACATCTTACAACGCCATAAGTGGTAATAATAAGTAAGAGGGTGCTATTACTGCACAAACTAATAATCACAGAATTTAATAAAAACTAACGTAGAAATAACTTTGAAAGTGGTGTAATATGCTCATCAATCAAACTTACTTCTCTGACTGCAGTCTAGGGTAATAAATGAATTGTCACGTTCTCGTTCAAAATAGTTTATCAGGGAAGCTACTTTGCTTCGACTGTTTAAATGCTTCGGCATATTTTCCACACACAATTTCAAGAAGTCCAATACAAAAACTCGAAAATTTAGTTCTTTATAGAACTGTTTGTGCTTAAAAGTACAATTAAAAAAAAGACTTTCATAGTCTTTTTTAGTCAAAAAACGAGAATTACTCACAAATATTCAACAACAACGCGATATTATACGAAATAATGACTGACATTAGGATAATTGTCAAATAATAAACGACAAACTTGCTGAAAACGGCCCAATAATGTGACCAACATAGCGATAATAAAATTCGGTTTAAACTCATTTTTGCAGCTTTAATCTAAATAAACTTTCTGTTAAAATCATTTGCTCTATAAAGTAAAACGAAGAGCTGCTCGGTATCTTAAATTATACAACAAATTTAAACAGTTTTGAATTGAGATTTTAGTCTCAATGTCGATAAGATTGATGACGTGCATTGGAAAATGTTTTGCGATTACAATAGGATAGTATTCACCTTAAAAAATAAGTAATAAGTAACAGAATTAAATTAAATATTACTTTAAACGTTTTTTTTTTAGATTTGGGCACAAATCTCGTATTCATATAACGTCTATATATAACGTAAAATCTATATAAGTCTATATATAACGTAAAATCTCTCAATTCATATAACGTGCTATAAGACCGTAATATGATAGCTTTACAACCAAAAAAGGCCCATTTTTATACAACCGTAGTAGTATAGAAGGTCTATAAAAAAGGTATACAACTCTTATGCAACTATTTTACACAGCGTCATATAACTATTATAAAACTAGTTTTATTGTGTATTACGTGGTCACATCTAAGAAACAGAACAATAAAAACATTTGATCATTTAGCGAGGTAAAAGAGTATTTTATTTCTTACCAAAGAATATTAGGAGCAAATTATATTTTAAGCATGTCGTAAAATGAATCTAGAGGATGTGAATTGTTATAAAGGAGACTTTACTCGACAATGAAAATGGCGGGTAGAGCCAGAAGGTACAACAAATATGTAATATAAAAAATCATTAATAGGGTTTGAAAAGTAGGGACAATTTTTGTTGCGTCGAAAATTTTACTGGTAGATTATAGGTATGTATTTGGCAAAAAATTAAAGCGCTTTAATTTCGATTAAGGTTTACGTATAAATTTAAACAATAAAATAAAATAAAATTTTCAAAAATTCTTGTTTTTAATTTAATTAAACACTTTATTACTGTATGTGGGAATCTTATCACAAAATAGTTCTCAAAAATAACATTTTAAAATGTATTTTGATGTTTTTAATTTTGCTTCATATAATGGCGGCCATAGGCCATACAAAAATTCTGCCTTAAACATGGCGAATTATAATGCCACCATTTTATTATAAATGAATTCCCTAAATAAGTCTTTGTTGTAAAATAAAACGGTATAGGGTGAATATCTATCATTAAGCAGAATTTCCAGGCAATATAGAACTATTTTGGACATATACAGATTTGTGACAAATAGATGTTGCCAAATCTCATTTGATTAGTATTTAAACTAACAAACATGATTAGATTTTCATGGATTCATGCATGCCCGACGAGTGAGTGGCAACCTAAGGACTTGGAAAAACAACAATAAAACAATACAAACATTACTACAGTAAAACTTTTACATCAACGTGGCAACAATGTTTTGAAGAAGCCAGACAACCCGAGATATTTTGGCTTTTGGGAACCCAGGGTCAGGGCCAGTCAACTGAGATATACGACCTTAAACGATCTTTTTTTGGGGTAGTAATTTCCTGGGGCGCTAGATGGCGTATTAATTTTTCTAGTTGCCAAACAATTGCGTACAAAATTGTTTTTATAGTTGCCTAAATAGGCCTATTAATTATGTTCTGTCATTGTTCTGTATGTCAAATCAGTTTTCCGTTTCCGGCTTCCTCCTTCCTCTTCAGTTGTGTTTTGCAGTTGTACGGAGATGTGCGTTTCGCTGTTTTCTGGTTGTTTGGCTGTGTTTTTTGCAATCTTCATTTTACAATCGTGATTTTGTATTTTTGAACTTTGTTTTGTGTTTGATTTTTAAGATCTTTATTAAAGGTAAGGTTTAAGTTAAAGGTCTTTGATTTATCTAACAATTTTATTTAATAATCCGAGAAAGTGAGGTGAGGTAACCTAACCAAGTCCAAATGTTCGTGAATTTTATTTTTTAACAATGTAATATTTACAACGCCATATATTTTTACAAAAAAATTGATCAACTCCATATTTTGTACATAAACTCCACAATGTGATATTACACAATTGTTCAAGTCCATATGTAAAAAATACACGTAAATAAAACATTGTTTCTAATGGACGTCACTTTCTCTTGTATTCCAACGATATTTGTTGTGTTCTTAAATCTGGTACTATAATAAATATTATACTTTTTAATCTGTTGTTTTATTTGTTTGTAAAATGTTTCATGGTATAATTTTCTGTAAATTAAAATAAATTATTTATTGTAGGTTTTTATGCACATAAAATGATATAAGCAAAGCATTTAAAAGCATTTAACACTTTACAATAGTTTAACCTGGTTTAACCTTTATATATAAATCCTTGTTTTTTACCATTTGACTTGTTTGCCAACTTGGGACCAATCAGATGACTACACATTATTTTGTAGAAATCTGATTGGCTCTAACTGGCGAACAAGTCATACGCCTTGCTTAAAAATAAATTGCATCTATTTAAATTTGCCGCCACATTTGTTACTTTCCTGGGTGGCTAGATGGCGCCACTTCAATATACAGATTACAGATTTCTTTACAAATTTGAAACCGTTTTGAAATTAAAAAATGCATGGGAGTTAGCGTTCTTCTTTAGTGTGTTCTGTGCCCAGGGTATTCTCGGGATTATTTGCCGTAATTTCGAGTTTTTTCTTACATGCTCTTTATAACTACCACTGCGTTAGTTAACTTTTTTCCAACTTTGTCCAGAATTCATAATAGCTGTGATTGATTAAAC